ATCACTTAGTAGTAAGATCTAATACACATAAAAACCCTCTTGGCTATAGTTTCTTTGAGAGTCATCTAGTGATTACTTAATAGTAAGATCTAATACACATAGAAACCCTCTTGGCTATAGTTTCTTTGAGAGTCATCTAGTGATCACTTAGTAGTAAGATCTAATACACATAGAAACCCTCTTGGCTATAGTTTCTTTGAGAGTCATCTAGTGATTACTTAATAGTAAGATCTAATACACATAAAAACCCTCTTGGCTATAGTTTCTTTGAGAGTCATCTAGTGATCACTTAGTAGTAAGATCTAATACACATAGAAACCCTCTTGGCTATAGTTTCTTTGAGAGTCATCTAGTGATCACTTAGTAGTAAGATCTAATACACATAGAAACCCTCTTGGCTATAGTTTCTTTGAGAGTCATCTAGTGATCACTTAATAGTAAGATCTAATACACATAGAAACCCTCTTGGCTATAGTTTCTTTGAGAGTCATCTAGTGATCACTTAGTAGTAAGATCTAATACACATAGAAACCCTCTTGGCTATAGTTTCTTTGAGAGTCATCTAGTGATCACTTAATAGTAAGATCTAATACACATAGAAACCCTCTTGGCTATAGTTTCTTTGAGAGTCCTCTAGTGATCACTTAGAGTTTGTGCACAAAGATGTTTTTATTGAGTCAAAGTACAGTTTTTATTCAAAACAAGGAAATTATAGAGTTCTCCATGCAAAGCAAAGTGGTAGAACAGTTCTGCATGCCAAGCAATCCTAAAATAGGAATGAATTTAAAAACATTGTACTTTTTGACTCCTCTTATATTCTTCCAGCTTCACCTTTGTGTATTAGTTGCTACTCTAACTAGCTTTTCCTTCACAAGTTGCTCAAACTTCCAAGATTTTGTTCTAAAATATTAGGTCTTTTTTATGCACTACATTCTTGCAATCCACTTCAATCTCTATAGTATTTGTGTTTTATATGCACTTTATACATCATGCCATGGGTTTTGATCTCCTTTTCCTTTTTAATGCCTTGAGATACAAAATTAGTATTTTCTTTAATTCTAGAATATTCGATTGAAAGATAATTCTTACAACTAGAATGGTTTGTAAAAAATATTACTTTTGAGCTACTTTTGACAGAATACATTTTTATTTTTGCTTCTTCTAACAAGGGATCTACATTAAGAGTCTTGATATTTTATAAATAAATTCTTACATTTATGTAACATGAGCAAGGAGTTTAATTCCCCAATCATTGTAAGAACAGAAATGGATGGAGAGTTTAGAGAGAGAGAAAATAAATAAATAAATAAATAAGATAAAAAACAAGAAACCAAAATTGATCAATTAAATTGTTTAATAACAATTAAAAACTGTGAAGATGGTATCCAGTAGTACCTGTGCATGCAAAGACTCTTTTTGTGTGTAAAGTTGATAGGGCCCTTTTCATTATTCTTGTTGCATTTTCACTCCAATATTAGCCATTCTCAGGTGTTCCCTGGAAGAACGGCTATTGTGTGCACACATGTGTCAAAATGAATTTGACACCACATTATGAGCTCATGGTGTTTTTTATTATTATTATTATTATTATTATTTCTAAAAAATAACTCTAAACTTTATTATATTGATATGACCTAGGTGAGTAAAATTTTAGTTTGTTTGGTTTCTCTTTCATATCATGTTTAAGTCCAGTCAGTTTTCATTTGTATCTATGTATCTATTCATTCATAGCTCAGATGATGTCAGGTATATGTATTGTATGTTATTCATAAAAAGTCTAAAAATTTAATGACTTATTTGTGTGAAAAAATCCCATATTCACAAGTAAGAAATATGGACATACATACATATGTATAAACATAAGAATGTGTGCTATTTAAAGTGATAACACAAAAGCTCTTTTCAAGGACTTTTACTATGTTAAAAGTGTATATTGTAACATTGCCTCTCCATTCTAGATATGGTATTTCAACCATTAGTTTTGACATCAAATCCTCTAATTTGATCTCATTCTTTAATCCTCTAAACTGATTTTTCAATCATGGTATTTTAACATTAAAAAATCAAAATCAAACAAAAAAAATTCATGCAACAATCTTTGAATCATGCAAACTACAACACACAATCCCACTATTTCTTCCATGATCAATGTACACACCACAAGATTCCATGCACCTACACACACACACATCCATACACAGAAAAATAGGCATCTATTTCCTATGTAAAAAGCATGCCATGCAAGCACCTTCCAAGTACCTTCCAGGCACCTTGTCACATCCCTGGTCCATGAACACAATGAAATGGAAGCCCATGCTCGACAACAAACAAACCAAATAAAAAAGAAGGTAAAAAAACACAAACAAACAAAAGGTAAAAGACATGGAAAGATAACTAAAACCCAACAGTAAAAGAAAACGAAGAGAAAGGAATAGGAAATAAAGCAACCCCACCTCCCAAAAAACAACACACTTGCCTTGTGTACATTCACTTCGAGCCACCTCGCATCGCCTCCCCGTTTTTTGTCTTTCCTTTCCCTTCCTGTCCCTCTTCACTCACTGGCTTGCTCGCACAGCAACGCTTCATCGCCTCATGGCGGAGCCCTAACCAGACATCCACAGGCCTGGCGCTGCTTAGCCATGCATGAGGCGTGGCGGAGATATTCCTGGAGTTGGTAACAGTTGGCAGCAGAATTCGGGGGGGGGGGGATGCGGCCTTGCTGCCCGCGCATCGCTCCTCATCACCCCCCGCACTGTTCTGTTCTGTTGTGTTGTGTTCTGGTGCAGGTTGTTCCCTCAAAAGCCCCGCTTCCTTCGCATCTCCTTCCTTCCCATTGTTCATTGCCTGTTTCTGAGCTGCGCATGCCCCGAAGCTCACTTCCCTGGTGCTTCCCACGCCAGCTGTGGGATACTGCAGTTAATGGAACCGGAGATTGTGCCTCAGTTCAGTGGCGACCTCTCCGTTGACCACTATGGGTTGAACGGGGAACACAAGTCCCATCTCCTCTGTTGACACCTACCTCGTATGCCTTTGCCTCCCCCGTCCTCCTCTTTTGGTGTTGTTGTTGCTGCTGTGTTGCTCATTTGCTGCGACCCGCCAAAGTATAAGTAAATGACGCAATCTCCGGAGAGACGTGTGTGGAGAGCGGGGATGGAGGTTGTGATGAGGTTCGTGGTCATTAAAGAAGTGGCCCGAAGGAGCTTCAGCTACTTGAGCTTGATTAAATGCAAGCCGCGCCGGAGGGGATGAAGGTGGTGGTGAAATGGGAAACCCTAGAACGAAAGGGCTCATCGTCCCCAACGCCCATCTTGGACAACAGCAACTTTCAGTCTGAACATTGAGAGTTGTGCGATTCTCGTATGTAATCAAAAATGGTGTTTTCGAATCGTGGGTTGTCCAACAGCCAGCTCGACCGATGAGTGTTGCGGAGGATTCCGATTCCCACTTGGCAGGCTTAGTCCGCGGAGAGGACTGGCACATGTTCCTTGTAACGAAAGCGACGGAATTGGTAACCGTTGGATGGATAACCGTTGGATGGACAACAGTTGCAAGCGGTGGAGCCCAACACCCACACTCGCCATCAAAGCATAGTTGCACGCGAGGCCGGAAAACGTCACTCGGACGCACAGCGCGTAAGCGAAGTAGGTGATGTGAGAATGGGTGCCGCGGTTTCCTATTTTCGTCTCTTTCCCAGGGCCGTCGAATGAACTCACACCTAGTCACAAATTTAGTCTTGAAGAAAAAAATACCGTCTTTTCTGGATGGTTACAAACCCTAGAAAATGTGCTTTGTATATACGGTCGGAAATGAGGGAGGGTAGCGTAAGAACGTATGTGGAGAGAAAAATCTACTTGGCAGCTGGACTGGGCTGTATCTGTGCAAGCATCACTTGGACGGAGGGGAAGGGAAGTGCCAGGCGGACGGCGAAAGCTGGCGCCTGGTCAGCGTGAAGGCAACCATGATCAGCAGCAGGAAGGTGCGCTACACCCTCAACACCCGGTGACCTATTTTTAGTAGACTCGTTGGGTTGCAGAAGTCTCTCCCACTCGCCATGCGCGACCACTCCAGCTTCCGCATTTGAATGCATATTAGGACGCACTTCGCGGCGGTGCTATCATTCCCACCCCGTAGAAGGCTCTCACATCTCCTCACCTGCTCACTCTCCGGGCTCCTCAATGTAGGATTCGCGGTGGTGCACAGCTAAATTTGGCAGACTCACCCTTAATCGCCTGCTTGCTTCCGTGAGTATGTTTCCAATAACAGGGTTCTTTACTTCTGCAGGAGTGTCGCTTAGACGGGGCTTTTAGGAATTGTATCGAATCGTCGCTTGCTTCCGAGACGCTTGGTGTCGCAGCTGAAATAAGAGGGAAGACACTGCAGTAGTACTTTTGGTAGAGTAGGCAATGTGGTCAGGAAGCTGTTTGCCAATTGAAGTCTAGCATGCTGGTGTAGTGTGCGGCTGGAGGCTTAGAATTGCTTGTATTCAGCTTCACTACTGCACCTATTGGGACACAGTCATCGCTGATCATTCTTAACAAGCTCTCTGGCAGGCTGAGCTGCTCGCACTGACATCATTTGTTTTGCTTGAACGCATTGAAGCATGGGAGGTTCCAAAGTAGCGTGGTTACTGGTTTTCCTGTCTCTCTGTTGTACAATTGTTGTGTCTGTCAATGGGCAAGCTGGGGTAGCTCCGGCAGCGCCAGTTCCGTTCCCCGGAAAAACCTTGGGCCCAACACTGGCGCCAACAGCTCCTACCCTGGCCCCTGCCCCTGCTCCCGCCTACATTTTTCCTTCTTGCGATGGAGTGGAGGTGATCTACACATTAACAAGCACTGCTGAAATTTTTCCTAATGCTTCAACTCCAGCGACGCAACCGTACAGCTTTGAGGCCTCCATCACACTGACAAACAAGGGGTACTCCACTCTGGATGTCTGGGGTGTCGGGCTTACTTACACACACGACGAGGTGAGTTGTCTTTGGATCACTCATCCTCTCAGCCACTGCCTGCGTGCATCGCGTCCGCTGCGTTTGCTTGTTCTGGCGCACTAAATCTTTTTTCTTGTGTTTTGCCAGATTATTGTGTCAGCAGGAGGCTTGTTGTTGGAAGATGGAAGGGCATTCCCTGCCAACGTGTCTGATGGGGCTGTTTTGGCACCGTCTCCCCCTCAAACCTTACGAAATTCTATTGAGACCGCTGGGGATCGAACTAAAATTTCCAAAACGTTTACCATTGTGGGTACTGAATTTGGCGAGCCTCTATTTCCGATGCCGCTCACTCTCAACATCACCAGCCCGGGATACAATTGTACTAAGCCTGACCCATATGGAAGTAAGTAAGCCCTGCCTTTTTGGGTGCCTACTACTTTCTACTTCTACTTCGTCGAAATGTGGAAGGTTCCCTCAGTGGACTTTAAGAAATCTCCATACGTAAATTCAGGATAGTGGCTGCAAGTGCCACCGTTTTTGGGGCTAATTTGTTTCTGCGTGGTGCAGATTCCACATTGCATGTATGCTGTGCTGAACCGAGCAAAAACATAACCCTTGGAGGCGACGACGTCTTTTTGCCACCCATCAGAGGTGACATCCTAATCACTTACGACGTGATCCAGGCCTACAGCAGCAATTACAGGGCTATGGTAAGCTTCTCACCCCTCTATCATTTATGAAGAAATCGCACTTCATTGCCTCACTCGTATTGATTAGGAAGGGGTTTGTAATTTATCACATGTCCGATTACCAAGTATGTAATCTTCAATTTACATTTTGCAGGTGACGATTTCCAACGAGAGCCCATTTGCAAGGCTTGATAACTGGAACCTTTCATGGACCTGGCAAGAGGGAGAGTTCATCTACCAGATGCAAGGCGCTAGGCCGAAAGTTGCCGATAGGCAAGTGTGTGTGGCTGGCGAAGCTGGAGTGTATTACCAACCTACCCCCACTATGGACGTGAACAACGCTATCAGCTGCTCAATCAGCCCCGAGATTTCTGACCTCCCCGTGGATATGACGAACGACACCACAGTGGGAAATGTGAAGTACTGTTGCAGGAATGGGACACTCTTGCCATCTGTGATCGATCCCTCCAAGTCGAAATCTGCCTTTACCATGAATGTGTTCAAGATTCCGCCCAATGCCGACAATGTGCTACACTTGGTCCCTCCTGCTGCCTTCAAAATTGGAAACGGTGAATATACCTGCGGTGCACCACGTCTCATAGCCCCCAGCCTCTTCCCGGATCCTTACTTGGATTACTCTACTAACGCCATGAAGACGTGGCAGGTACGAATTATCCTCCCCCGCTCTTCTTTAACTGATTGAATTTCGGTTACCAGCATATAATCAACTAACTGCAGTTAGGATTGGCTTCTGGCAAGTGCTAATCCTGAATCACGTGAATTTGTTTCTCACAGGTCAGTTGCAATGCCACCACGGGACCGAAGAAACCCCCTCCCAAGTGTTGCGTCTCCTTCTCGACGTACTTGAATGACTCTATTGTGCCGTGCCCTACATGTGCCTGCGGATGCGCTGCAAATCCCACTCCTGTGTGCAACAAAAATGCCTCCGCGATGCTGCTCCCCTACAGTGCACTCACCCTGGCTCCTGGCAACCGAACTAACCAGATCCTCGCGTGGGCCAGCATCCAGCACACCCAAGTCCCCAACCCTCTCCCATGCTCCGATTACTGCGGAGTAAGCATCAACTGGCACGTCGTGTCTGACTACTCCAAAGGGTGGAGCGCCCGCATGTCGCTCTTCGGGTGGTCGAATATCACATACCCCGACTGGTTCGCCGTCGTGGAGATGCCCAAAGCCATGCCCGGCTTCGAGCAAGCATACACGTTTAACGCCACCAAGATCCCGCCCACCAATTCAAGCTTCATTGTGCAGGGCCTGAGTGGGTACAACAACTATCTTTTGGGATCTCAGCTCGTGAAAACTGGAGTGTCTGTGCTGCAATCGGTGCTGTCGTTTACGAAGAAACGCACCCCAGAGATTGATTCCCTCAAAGGGGATCTCTTCCCCAACAAGGTCTGGTTCAATGGAATGGAGTGTGCCATGCCGGATACCTTCCCTACCAGCGGAGCTTTGAGTCTGGCATCGCCGTCACTTGTGAGCACACTTGTGAGCACACTAGTGCTAATGCTGGTGTCGGTACTCTGGCTCGGCGCTTCTGAGCTGCTTTGAGCTCAATGTTTGCTAATGTACACAGCTTCATCGAGATCATGTGATTAGCTTTTGCTTATTTCTCAACCACTGAGTAGGTTGGATTATGCACAGGTAGTGAGTGGAAACGTCACATTCTTTCTGCATTCTTTAGGCAACACTGTGAGTAAACAATAACCGTTGCCCTCAATGAGTTGTAAATTTTACGTTAATCAGTGACAATTTTTTTGTCTCCATTAAAGAAAGGAGTTTTTTGTTGTTTTATATTGTCCAACTTGGGTTAATTGCTTTGAGTGTGTTCAGCTTCAGCTTCAGCTTCTTATGCACAGTGTAGCTCCAAAATGTTGACGGTTGAGAGTTGTTTTAGAAAGTTGTGGAGATTGTATATGATGTTGTTCATGGAAGATAATTTCTTTCAAACAGTTAGTTCTAAATCTTATTACAATGATTGTAGATGGGACTCATCTACAATCTTTCGATCTTTGTTCAAGTTGTCACATTCTAATAGCTAACAATTCTTCTTTTGCCAACTCATCTTCCCATGGTAGCATACTCCAAGTTGGCACATGTTCTTCAATTAGCATAATTAATTTTTGACATGTCATAAGTTCCATTGGCATATATCATGTCACTGAATTATGTGTTGTTTGATGAGTCCATAATGCATAAAGCAAAAGTGAAGACTATTCTCTCACTCTTCCATTGCAAGCTTTAATCAAGGCTTTTATACTTGGTGGATGTCCATATTCACTCTTTGCATTCCCTTGTAAATTATAAGCAATTGTCAATCATAATTTAATTCCACACCCTTTAAAGAATTGACAAACTTTATATACATCTAATTCTCTACAATCTATAATAATCTTTCCCACACATCTATAGCGACAAATAACATCCTCAAGTAAAAACCTGCAAATTTCCTATGTGGACTTTGTTCTCAATGCCTTGCCTTTTATTTGGTTTGATAATTCTTCATGAGCCATAATTAAATATCTCATTTGCCATAATTCCATCAGTATAATAATCAAATCTATAACCTATCTAAAATGAATAGCCAAAGGATATGTTCGATGTAAACCATCTCTATGTTGTATATTTGAATACATCTAACAAGTTACATAAGGTTCTACAAATGAAGCTATATTTTGATACTTATTCTTCCACCGATATTCTTCCTTCAATTTAGCAAAAGTAGCCTAAATTCTTCTATGCCTCACCCATAGACTATTATAAAATTCTTTAATTATTCTTTGTTGATCTTCTTTGGTATCTACTATTCATCATGGCATTTGAATATTTAATTTTGGCCTCTTTCATGAAAATCCTTTTTGTGATATAAACCTACATGTTTTTTTTTTTTTTATCTATTTAAATTTTCCAACCAACCAATTAACATGCTTGATTAATATGCTCAAATAATGTCCAATATCCAATAATTCTTTTTCATAATTTTCTTCATAAAAGGGCTTATTTTTCTTGTTTAATCATGCAACCAAATAAAATTTTGTACCCACATCATCAATATCCTCAATCATCTCATCTTTTCTATCATATATTGCTTGAGATAACATATCTGCTACTAAATTGTCTTTCTTTGCAATATACTTAAATTCCAGATTTAATGACTTCATATAATCAATCTATATCAACCTTGCAATATTTGGTATTATATAATTAGTAATCATTCAAAGTAAAGGCAAATAATCCATTTCAATTACCACCATTGCTTTAATCAAATAATCTTTTTCAGCTTTTATAACTGAAACAACTCCTCATAGTTTTCTTTTCACGTGTGAATATGCACATTAGCGAATACTTAAAACCTTAGCTCCAAATTGCACTACAAATCTATGTCCATTCAAATCATCTTGTGAGCTCTCAATTATACTCTAAAATTTAAATTTTTATTATTTTTCTATTTTATGATAATTAAACATGTTAGATTAGGATTTATATAAGTGGAATTTAGTTTTATAGAATTTTTAAGATTACAATCCTTGATGGTATAAATTATAGCCTAATTCCTTGAATTATGTTAATTAGGACTAAAGTAATAAGAGTTAGAAAATTAGAATAGCAACTTAGTTAGTTTAATAATTTAGAGGTTGTTAGTCATTACTATAAGGGTTGACTAAAAGCCTATGAATGCATCTATAATCATTCACATGATTTAGGAGTTGGAATTATAATTCTTTAAAAGATTTAGGGAAGTTAGCAATGGTAATTTTGGATTTTCCTCCAAATTCGACAAATTTAAGTGGCATGGTGGTTCTTCTACTTAATGGGAGACTTTTTAATGCAATGGTAGCACCGGATTTACCTCGTGGAGTGAAGAAAACAAGATCAGCAACCTCTCCTTCAAATTACAAGAGAAGCAATGAAATTCTCATTTTGAAGAATTTCACAAAAATTGCCAAGATCCTTGTAAGTAAAAACTTCCATGAAAATTATAATTGAGCATGGATTGAGGCATGTGAGTAGTCGATCTTAGCCTACAAAGATATTTTGAACACAATAGTGAAGTTAGATTTACAAAAAAATGCTTTCTTGACCACTTACAAGAGCCATCAGCCTTGGTAACGAGATTGGCTCTTGGATGAATGAAGGCCGTAGATCTAGATTATGGATCTTAAAAATCAAGGGTGGAGATGTAGCCATCCTTCTACGAGCCTCTACTCAATTGTATAAGAGAGGCTTGGTTTTCCAAGCCCTTTTTCTCTCCTCTTTTAGATGAAGGGCGGAGCCATACCAAAATTTGGCCAAAACCCTAATCTTAATTTTATTTAGATTTTAATTCTCATTGTGAGCCTTGTGATTGTGTATGTATGGATTTTGCATTGTGAAGGATGGTCATTAAGTTTTAAAATATCTTTTTCATTGAGGTAGATATCTCCTTGACCTTCAAAATACTCCAAGGGTTTTCAAGGGCCTCGGATTTTCTTCAATCAATCACTCAATTTTTGTTTTTTCAATGTGATATTTAAAATAGTTGTAGATTTTGTCGTTAGATTTCCAACAAGATAAGACTTGCTTGATTTGGATTAAGAAAGAATTTTTGGTGAATTTTTGAGTTTGACGGAGTCGACTGCCTTAGTAGTTTGAATCAATCGAGTTTGGAAAGGCATTTATCAGTTCCTAGTGATCGGATTTATTTGAAAATTTGGGAGCATCAAGCTTTATAAGCTAAGCTCTGAAAGGCACAAGTTTTGGTGAATTTGAAGACAATCTGAATTTCTAGTGAATTTCTAAGTGAAGAGGGTTGGTCACCGTGGTAGTTCGGATCACTCAACTTCAAAGGAGGAATTCTCAAGATTGAATCATTAGATTGCAACAAGGATTGATGGATCAAAAGCGTCTTCAAGTCAGCCTTGCAATAAGCTAAGAATAATTGAAATTGAAGCCGATTATAAATTTTGGAAAATTTTGGAGTAGAAGGGAGTCGCTGCCTTCAATCCTTATGTGTTGTCAAGGTACCTTGGCTTTCACCTCTCTCACTTTATTTTTGCTATCATCTTCACAGTGAGTTGTAAGCTCTACATTTTACTTTTTGGCTGACAAATTTTAACTTTAACTTTTAACCTTTAATATTCTCACTTTAACTTTTAACTTTAAATTTTAAACTAAACTTTAAATTTTAACTTATCACTTAATCTTTAATCTTAACTTTTAAATTAATTTCTTTTCACTTAATCTTTTAATTTTAACTTTTAACTTTAACTTTTTTTAAAACTTAACTTTTAACTTTGTTTTTAATTCAAACTTAAGTTTTTATTCTTATGGTCAATTAATAGTAATAACTTAATTAATTATTTTTATTGTGGTTGCATAGTAAATTTCATTTAACATGTTAATTTAATGTTGTTAACCATTACTTGGAAGGCCTAAAACTAATTAAATTTTTAATATAAAGATTTGAATTAATCTAACAATTACACAATTAGGAGCTCTCCAATTCCACCTCTTGGACTTGTTGTGTGGCATAGGTTTCATCAAGTGGTGAAATTTGGCCTCACACATCTTGACCTACAATCCATCCAATGGCAATCAAACTAGTATCCATTGTAAGAATCACTAGTTTATTACACTTATAATCAATTTTTCTCAATATTAGAGGTAATAACAATAATTTCTTCAATCTTTGCATTACTTTAATATGCTTTTTTTTTCCATTTAATCATTGTATAATATTTTATATAATAGATCCGCTATGTGAGCATAGTGAAGAATCCAAATATAATAAAATATACATATACTTAAAAACCTACGAATCTCTGTTAAAGAACTGCAATCTTCTTTCATTCTTTCAATTCCATCAACTTCAATTGGATCTATTTTTCTTCCATAAAATCCACATAAATGTCCAAAAATTATGACTTCTTATATTTTAAATATAAATTTTGTACCTAATAATATAAGACAAACTTCTTCAACTTGAGATAATATTTTTTTACAATCTTATATATGATTAGCAACATACTTGTGACATCCCTTTTTATATAAAGTTTCATCATTTTCTTCTTTTTTGTACCTCTTAATAAGAACATCATCTAGAAAAGATATAGTATTCTTAGGAATAAAATCCCTCTATACCTTGTTCATCCTGTTCATTATATGCACAACTGAGTTAGTTGTGCTTTGAAAAAGAATAGACATTCTAACTAGCCCAAGTGGTGTTCTCATTGTTGTCATATCACAATTCACTTCTATAAATTAAAATTGGTTATAGCTCAAATAAAAATCACCTATTGAATAGATTGCCCTTCTTGCAAATTCTTCAGCAAATTCATCCATTATTGGTCCAATTCTTTCATTCTTAATAGTCATTGCATAAATTGGCTGTATATCTTGAATAAATTATAATGATTTATTTTTTTGAATCATTGTAAACCATTGATTAGAATATAGTGCAAAAAAAGGCTTTAAAATCTTCATCTTCATCTTTTCTTTCAATAAATCTACTAAGTTTGATAAATTTGTCCTTGATATTCAAATTGGCCTTAAATTCCAATATACATGTCGTACAGTGAAATAACCATAGGCATTATAATATTTTGATCCACACATTCAATTTTATGACATTCAAAGGCAAATAATCTACTTCATTTTGCCAACATTTCTTTGAAGCAAATAATTTTTTTCCGCAATAAAAAACCATCAAAACCAATCTTCAATTCCTCAAAAGTCTCTTTAGTGAACTTATGCCTAATATTCCTTGGATCCCTTAAGCTCTTTTTCTTTGACACTTCTTCTATCTATTCTTTAGA